GCCCTGTTAGCTTCTCACCAACGGACATCTGCTGTGTACTAAGTGAGGTGTTGTAGTTATTTTATGACTGTTTTATGTTGTTGTTTTTAATTCGTAACCATTTCGATTTGACATTCCCGTTTGAATAACCTCTGAGTTGTTTAACTTGTTGTTAAGACCTTATCATTATCTTGTTGGTAGTCAATAAGCATGGGAAGTAAATTGATGGCAGCAGGTGTCAGCGCTGTAATACGTGTCCTATGAGTATACATTACGTAAACTGATATTATTGGGCTGATTTAGACCACATCTCCCTCTTCGAACCCCTCCATTCTGGCTTCAGTTTCTGTCCTGATCAACACACAGTGGTGAGTGCAATACATCCACCAGCCTTTAACTATTCATTAGAAGCTTATCTACACTGACCTCACTTCAGTTTTCACGCCAGCTGTTGAACAGTAGATCATCTGTCACAGATAAGCTATATTTGTGTTCTATCCTATTTACATACTTCTTCATTTATTTGCGATTCCTTTGTGTTCAGATGTGGATGAGACAATGATCTGCCTCACATCCTGTTGGCTACTCCTTCGTCAATACCCTCCAATTTCTCTCACTACCCAACACTTCTAAACAAGGTGTGAGAAGGCACCACTGCAAAAAAGAGGTTAAAGGTAGGAATTAATTCTCATTTTAACATATTATATATATATATATATATATATATATGCTTAAACAAGGATAAGCAAAGAGAATGTGTGTGTGTATGGGTGTGTGTGTTTATGACTAATGATGATTTATTGTACTCTTTTGGCAGATTTTTGCATCGTGGTGTGAGTTGTTTAGCCACTATGCACAGATAGGTCATATAGATGGACTCCGTAACTATACATTCCTCATGTCCATTCACTGTTGAATCAAAGACAACATCACAAGCATCTTTACTGGGAAAAGGAAGAAAATAGAAATGAAAAGGAGACCAAAATATATATGGAGTACATAAGAATCAGCATGCTTTTAAAATATATTTTTATTGATCTTATGTAATGCTAACTTCTAATACCCCAAATTTAAGTTTTTTTTAGGCTGCCAGCCATAATTGTCCAAATAAAGAAACAACTTTTACTGTGTGTGCAATAAAGTTAACATCTGAGTTTCACATTCTGAACTGAGTTACTAAACAATTTAACTTCATTACTTCTTAAATTGTAGTGATACCTGTATGGGTTTGTATGATTGTCTAATTTGGATCTAATATATAAAAAAAAAAACAATAACCCCTCTAAGTATTATAGAAACTGAACTAGGTGAGAAAGTGTCAAATAACTTGACACTAGCTTAAATTGACACTAAATGGAAACTTAATTATATAAATGTCAACTCTACCCATAATAATATGGATATTTTTGCTATCATATCAATATGGAACAAAATGTTAGGAATGTTTCAGACACATTGTTGAACCACAAGATTTAGGAATAAATGCCATTAATGTATGTCTACATCTTTCCTTTTAGGGACTAACAGCTAGTCCTTATCTGAAATCTCAGCCAATCAAATATTGATTCAACTTTGAAAAACAACGTGTAGACTAATATTCTGTATGTTTACACTTAAACCAGCTTTACTATATTACAATGAAAGACTACAAGCTGTAGCTCCACCCTTGCATCCTGAATCCGCCTGGGTGTGAGTGTTTGCTCCTTAATAGGTCCATCTGTACTCTAACTAGTTTATCTTTTGAGTTTATTGCAACAGTTTTCTTTCCAAACAGGTTCTTCCCAGTTGATTTTATTTTTTCAATTCACTTAATTCTCTTTTCAGACCTGCTCCTCAAGTACCACTACCCTGCATGTTTTAGATTTCTCTCTGTTGCAGCTTCAACAGCTCTGCTGTTGCAACTCTGTTGCAGCTTCAAATGATTGCATGTCCTCCCCAGCCCTAGTCTTCAAGTGCTGTAGAACCCTGTTAATTGTTCATTATATAACAGTAAGGTGTGGCAGGAATGAGAGATCTAAAACATGCAGGGCAGTGGTACTTGAGGACCAGGATGGAGAGCTGCTGTAGTAGATAATAGATTGATAGATTAAATCCCAGCAGGTTTAAAGTTTCTGAGTCACACACAGAGAGCAGTCTTTGGCGGCGCAACCAACCCTTCAGAGTCACCTAAATCTCTTTTTCCTAACAAATTTTGATGCCCTTTTCCACAATGAATTTCGCATGTTTAGCTACCTATATGCATTAAAGTGGCTGGATGCATCAATGTCTAAAAGTGACACATTTCATTTAAAGATTTGGATAGAAATCCCAATTTAGTTTTACAAGCAAATAAACAGGTGTCAATAATAGTGTCTGTTCAGCATACAACACACTTCTCCACAGTTATTGCCACCTCTAGTAAATCTTTAAAATAGATTTTGTCACAGTTCTGGTTCTGTTTTCCTTTGAGTGTTCGGTTTTTCTATGCTCCATATTTTCTAGTTTAAGTGGTTTAATTCTTATTTTGTTGTGTTTTCTAGTTATTTTTCAGTTACTGTCACAGTCTTGGTTCTGTTATGTTTTCTTTTGTGTATTCTGTTTTACTTTGCTCAATGTTTTCTAGATTTAGTGGTTTAATTATTATTTTGTTGTCTTATCTGGTTATTTTTTAAGTTTTTCGGGTTTTTTTGTTGCCCTCTGCTGCCCTCTTGTGTTCTCCTTTTTCCCTAACTCCTTTCCTGTTCTGCTCTGCTCACACCTGCTCCCAATCTGCTCGTTAGTCCTCTCTTTGTTTCAGTCTCCCATAAATACACTCTCTGTTCAGTTCCTCAGTTGCTGGTTCCTTGTCTAACTTCCTTTAACTGTCTCTCTGAGTCTTCCTCCTCATGATTGTTTTCCCTCAGATGTCTCCTTGGTTTCTGGCTTGTTTGACTTTGTTTTCATGTTTCATTTTTGGATTCCTGCCTCAGTTGTTTGTTAACTCTGCATTAAATCCACAAGAAACTCACCTCTGCCTCCCTGCCTCTGCATTTGGGTCCACAAACCTCAACCAAATCCTGACAGATTTTTTTTTTTAAACAATCTCTAACCAAAATTCACAATCAAACTGTAGTTTTTTTGGTTTTTTTTACCTACTTCCAGAATTACACACACAACCAGTGAATTTTAGCATTTTATTTGTAAAAAGCAAACAAGAATCTTGAAACAGGGACTGCAGGAAGTCAGCTGTAACTTTCTGGGTGCAGAAAGTAGACTGATCAGGAACGAGTTGCTTGATTACAACTTACATGATTGATTTGGGTTATTTGAGAGATTAAGGAGAGATCGCATGGATCTGTAGAATTTGATTCAGCTGGCTTTGCAGACTGTACCCCAGAGGTCCAGGAGAATATGAATGGAATACGAGAACATTGGTATTTGCAAGAGAAGTTGTGCTGGAGAGCATGCAGGCAGGTGATAAAGACTGAGAACTGCTGCACACAGGTGAGACCTTTTCTATAGAGATCCTAGACAAAGTGAGCTTTAATGTTTGTCTGGAACAATAACAAAGTCCACAATAATGAGATTCCCAGGAAGATCGATTCAACAAGAAATATACTCCTGATATCCTTGGAATATTGTCCAAGGATATCAGGGGTAATCATCCAGAAAAGAGAGATGATCATTTGCCTCCTTTTTTACACGCCAGTCATCTTGAGAAATGTTCTCAGGTGTGCAGCAACACGGATCAGCCTACCCACCAGCAAAGATCCTCTCTGTGACAGTAAGCTTACTTACACCAGAAAAAAGGTACAACCCCAGAGACCCTAGCATAAAGTAGATTTGGAGAGACCAATCAACTTGGCAATCTTGATTTTGGACTGTGGAAAGAGGCTGGAGTACCCAGAGAGAACCTTCATACACTACAGTGCTACAACTTACTGCCCACTGAGCAGCTTGGTCAGACAAAAACAATCTTTGACTTGAGAACAGTCAAAGATTGTTTGACTTGAGAACTGTTATTTATTTAAGAGATAACTGTATGAGATTTCACAATATTAGAGCAAACTCATAAAGGGATCTTTTAGCAATACTCTTTAACTAGTTTCTACAGACTACGCAGTCCCTAGTCCAACCTTACTCTCACAGCTTCTCAGCTTAGGTTCCTCTTCTTTTTTTTTCTTTACGGAATTTATGTCAAGGAATTGCTAAAAGACCCAATCAGGACACATTTCTGCATTCAGACAAAGGCCATTCCCACTTTATATACATTTTTTTTTGTATTTCATAGAGTTCATAGTGTCATGTGCTCTGACAGGATTCCCTGGGCCTGAGTAAGCCTATGCAGACTGGTAATTTGATAAGAACATAATCTAAATTGCATATTTCTACCTTCTCTTCTGTTCTTGTCTTTCTTTTTCACAGAAGATATGCTTTACTGCTCCAGAAACGGAAACAAGAGGCTTATATAGACCCCAGACTTGGTTTGATTTACTATGAAGCCATGATTTGCTGCCGCAAAGTTAACATCAACACCTTGACTCTTGTGGTGATCCTGCAGGGGACAGCAGCGGTGCTGTTCTATGGCTGGTACATCAGGAACTCATTCCATCACTCTGCTTCCCCTAAAGGCAAAGTCCACATTCTGCTGCTGTCGTCATGGCGATCAGGTTCATCCTTCCTGGGTCAGGTTTTCAGTCAGCACCCGTCTGTTTTTTATCTCATGGAGCCCGGTTGGCACGTGTGGACCAAAAATCATAAATCTGGTGCAAAAGTTCTGAGAACAACCGTGAGGGATCTTCTGTGGAGTTTATACAAGTGTGACTTCTCAGTGATGAATGCATATCTACCAGGAAACCCTCTTTCATCCTCATTGTTCATGTGGACTTGGAGTCAAGCACTGTGCTCGCCACCGGCCTGTCCCTTCAAAACAGCCAATGAGAGTCAATGCCGACAAGTATGTCACGCTCAAAGCTTGAGCAAAGCACAGGAAGCCTGCCAGACATACAGTCATGTGGTTTTAAAAGAAACTCGTTTCTTTGAGCTGGAATCCATTTATCCCCTTCTACAAGACCCTGTCCTGAACCTCCATGTGGTTCATCTCGTCCGGGACCCTCGGGCAGTTATGCGATCCAGGGACGAGTCGGCCTATATACTCCATACAGACAGTGCCATAGTGCTGGAGCAGAGAAATGTGTCTTCTGCTGAGAGGCAGTACGAGGTCCTACGAGAAATCTGCCGGAGTCACCTGAACATTTATGAGAGAGGGCTGCTAAACCCACCTCCATTTCTGGAGGGTCGCTACAAGTTGGTCCGCTTTGAAGATGTGGCACAAAACCCACTGACAGAAATAAATGACATTTATAATTTTGTAGGTTTAAAGATGACCCCTGAGGTGAAAGAATGGATCTACAAGATGACTCAGGGAAAAGGGAAAGGTGGTTGGAACGAAGCTTTTAAAATTACCTCCAGGAATGCAGCTGAAGTTTCTGAGGCTTGGCGCACTGAGCTCCAGCACATTAAGGTAAAAAAAATTCAGGAAGTGTGTAAAGCAGCCATGTTGCTGCTTGGATACAAGACAGTTAACAGTGAAGGAGAGCAGAAAAGACTCAATATGAAGCTTTTAGTGCCAGGAGAACCATGAATTTAACTGAAACCTGTAGGTTAAACCACACATGGGCAAATTAAACGTTTACCTGTGTTCATTGCTCCTGTTCAGTTAACAGAAAAAAAGAACAACAAAAATAAAAAAACTCAACAAAAAACACAGAAAAAAGTGGGTGGGGTTTATGTTGTATCAAAATCAATCCACTAATAGAAACATAAGAAAACTGATGCAACTTAGGTTTATTTTCAAGTCAGCACATGTACAAATCTTAAAAGACCTGAGTCATGCAATTAAATGTTTTTTTTTTGTCTATAGTGTAATTCATTGATCAAAATTATGGTCAAAGAGATATTTCATTTGATTTGTGAATGTCTGGGAATTCCTCATGAATTCTGCTCTCTGGGCAACGGCCACTGTATCAAATAAAAAGTGTCTATCATCATTCAACGTTGGACAAAGGCCTCATCCAAAATCATCCGGCAGTCTATGGGTGAAAAGTGGGGTACACCCTCGCAGGACTCTATTCTTAAAAAACTGTTCTATGCAGAGAAAATTGGTTAATTTTCATTTTTTCTTACTGTGTTGCTGAAGAGAACATAAAAATTCTGACTCGTTTTTCTCTAAATTGAAATTACAGACAAGATAAAAACAACTAAACTAAACAAAAATGTTGTATTAGCAGTTTACTGAAGCTTAAGTGTAAATTGAATCTGGAGGACTCTTATCAGCTTCACCGGAACCACCTGCGATGTCCCTTGTTCAGCTCCAGCCAATCAGCTCTTGGGCTGCACATTCTCCGAAGCCAATCATCTTGCAAGATCCCCTTTATTAAGTTCCTGGCCAAGCTACTCTCTCCCAGACGCCAGCAAACTTTCCTCCACCTTCACCCCACCTCCTCCTCCTTCATTCTCAATCCCACTCACCCTCTGGCTTATTCAACCGTCAGATCCCGGGCCCTGGAGGAAGACTACTCTAATCCTTCTTTTAGGTTACTCATCCAAGCGTATGTCAAATCACAGCATCGAAGTCTTCTGCCGGGGCCCGAGCACCAAAGAACTTGTTTCGTTTATGTTTTCATCTGCCTCTGTCTTCTTCAACTGCTCAAGTTGTGTCAGATTTACAGAAAGCCTTTTCAAAACAGCATGTTTCAGCTCTTCCAAAAGATGACCACTAGGTTTTAGGTCAGGGATCATAGGAGGCTGTGTTCGAGAAATTAAGATTTCCCTTATTTCATATATTAATTTATCCTATTTACTCACTATAAAAATGTTCACTCAGTCTGTTTCGCTGGCAAGGCCACACAATTCTCCTGCATGAGGGTGTTTGTAGACCAGACATAGTTCTTCCCAAAACAAGCCAGATTCTTTCTCAAGGATTATTCATAACATGTTACTGTTTAACCAAAATTTTCCATTATTGTAAGTAATGGGAACACACTCTGCCTAGGCAGAGCAGGGCTGAAATACCACGCAGTAA